TTTTTTTTTTTTGTCATACAGACTGGTTATAACACCGTTGACAGACAGATGTTACATAACACTGACCCAGTCTCTTCATTTAATAATGGGCGGGGGACCAGCAGGCCCAGCCGGAACCGGAAAAACGGAGACTACCAAAGATCTCGGCAGAGCTCTTGGCATAATGGTCTACGTGTTCAACTGTTCCGAGCAAATGGACTACAAATCCTGCGGCAACATCTACAAGGGATTAGCTCAGACTGGCGCCTGGGGTTGTTTCGACGAGTTCAACCGGATCACGGTCGAAGTACTCTCTGTAGTGGCTGTCCAAGTGAAATCGATCCAAGACGCCATTCGGGATAAGAAAGAGAAGTTTAACTTCATGGGAGAAATAATCGGCTTGACACCAACGGTCGGTATATTCATCACCATGAATCCAGGTTACGCGGGACGAACCGAGTTGCCAGAGAATTTGAAAGCCTTGTTTCGACCTTGTGCAATGGTGGTCCCCGATTTTGAGCTCATCTGCGAGATTATGTTAGTTGCGGAGGGATTCCAGGTATATGCTAAAAGCAAACAATAATTTTCAGAATATAGTCAATTAATTTACGGAAAATACGGCTATGCAAACTTTTTATTCTACAGACACTTCCGCAAATAAAATGAAATAGAATTAAAAAAATTTTCTTTTGAATTTGTGCGTTCGCTTCAATGCAAAGAATCTTGATGTTTCCTAACTTTCTGACAGAATTTGGATTTCTTGAATCTATAGACAGAACTTAGAATATTTTTGGATCTAACAAAAATTTATTAAATCAGTCTGCTTTGGTATAAAAAATTCGACGCTCTTTAACTTTTTAACAGTATTTGGAAGTAACTAGAGATCAACTTAAGTAAAATTTAGAATCTTTTATATAATAAATAACTATTATTTAAATAATTTAAATAATATATTATATACATAATATACATAATATTTATATAATAAATAACTATTATTTAAATTAAATAATTTAATAATAAATAACCATTACTATTGACAAAAATCGCACCAGTAAAATCAATTATCATGGTACAAATACTTTTGAAATAGTACGTGTGTCTATTTAAATATTGCCGCGTAAATTACGCGTGTACGTGAAACAGGAAACGGTAAATTCCAGGATGCGAGAATCCTAGCCAGAAAGTTCATCACACTATACACGCTATGCAAGGAGCTCTTATCGAAGCAGGACCATTACGACTGGGGATTACGCGCGATAAAGTCGGTGTTAGTGGTCGCCGGAAGTTTGAAGAGAGGAGACCCGGGCAGACCGGAGGAACAAGTGCTCATGAGAGCCCTCCGAGACTTCAACATTCCGAAAGTGATCTCCGACGATCTGCCAGTGTTTATGGGCCTGATAGCCGACCTGTTCCCCGCGTTGGACGTCCCCAGGAAACGGGACGTTGAATTCGAGAAGATGGTGAAACAGGCGGCGGCGGATTTGATGCTGCAGCCGGAAGACGGTTTCATCCTCAAGGTCGTTCAATTGGAGGAACTGTTGGAGGTACGGCATTCGGTGTTCATCGTGGGCGGCGCGGGATCAGGCAAGACTCAGGTCTGGAAGTCGCTGTTCAGAACGTATCAGAACATGAAGAGGAAACCCGTGTACAACGATTTGAATCCGAAGGCCGTGACGAACGACGAGCTGTTCGGAATAATCAATCCAGCGACCAGAGAGTGGAAAGACGGCCTGTTCTCGGTGATAATGAGGGAACAGGCTAATCTAGGCGGCGAGAATCCCAAGTGGATAGTATTGGACGGTGACATCGATCCCATGTGGATCGAGTCTTTGAACACTGTCATGGACGACAATAAAGTTCTGACGTTGGCCAGCAACGAGAGGATAGCTCTGACACCTGCGATGAGGCTGCTGTTTGAAATTTCCAATTTGAGAACCGCCACTCCAGCCACCGTGTCCAGAGCCGGGATCCTGTATATAAATCCGCAGGATCTGGGCTGGAATCCTTACGTCACGAGCTGGGTGGAGAAGAGGACGTCGCCGATAGAGAAATCCAATCTGGTCATGCTGTTCGACAAGTACATCCCTCCTTGCTTGGAGACACTGAGAACCAGGTTCAAGAAGATAACACCGATCGCCGACATGGCGCACGTGGAGATGCTGTGCCATCTTCTCCACTGTCTTCTGAAGCCGGAGTTAACCGCTAATGACTTTCTAAAGGAACATTACGAGCTTTACTTTGTATTCGCCGGTGTCTGGGCTTTCGGTTCCTCGATGTTCCAAGACCAACTGGTCGATTATCGCGTGGAATTCAGCAAATGGTGGGTAAACGAGTTCAAGCAGATCAGGTTTCCCTCTCAGGGCACGGTGTTCGATTATTACATCGACTCTGAGACGAAGAGCTTCGTTCCATGGACGCAACGTCTGCCAAAGTTCGAACTGGACCCCGAGATGCCTCTCCAGGCTGTCCTCGTCTACACAGCCGAGTCTATTCGAATCAGATACTTCCTGGACTTGTTGATGATCGAGAAACATCCGGTGATGCTGGTCGGAACAGCCGGTTCCGGGAAAACTGTCCTCGTCACGGAGAAACTGCTACAACTGTCTGAAAATTACACGGTGTCCAACGTCCCTTTCAATTTCTACACTTCCTCGGAGATGTTGCAGAAGATTCTCGAGAAATCTCTGGAGAAGAAAGCCGGTAGAAATTACGGGCCGCCTGGGAACAAAACTTTGGTGTATTTCATCGACGACATGAACATGCCGGAAGTAGATACTTACGGAACTGTCCAACCGCACACTTTGATTCGCCAGCACTTGGATTATGGCCACTGGTACGATAGAACGAAGCTGACCCTGAAGGATATTCATAATTGTCAATACGTTAGCTGCATGAATCCCACGGCTGGATCGTTCACCATTAATCCTAGGCTACAGAGACACTTCTCGGTGTTTGCAGTCAGCTTTCCGAATATCGACTCGTTGACCACTATCTACTCGTCTATCTTGAAA